ATCCAGCAAGAATGACATTTTAACAAACATCTAGTCATTCAAGACAACATTAGCGATTTCCGCTCTGGAAAAAAATCAATGACTTGTCAAGCTCCATGGATAGCTAAGCTGCACAAAACATCATATAAAGCAAGATTCATAACAGGTTCTAACTGTTTAAACAAAGAACTTTCAAAGATCTCAACCTTGGTTATTTTGTTACTTTTTACTTTCCCACTATAGTACATGGCATATTTAAATTACGCTTCAACGATATCAAGTTTTAATATATCACCGCAATACAAGTACATTTTAACAACTGATGCAAACCCGTTCTACACAAAAGATGTGTTTATATTTGTGCTTTTTTTTGTGAAGTCTGGTGGTCATAACTCAGGTATAACTGATACTCTATTTTTCTACACTTTTTTCTATGATATATTCACCTGAACTTGAACTCACTGAATCAAGTTCTTTCATCTCATATGTATATAACTAACTCGATTTTGATTTTAAGCGTAACCTTCCTACTAGATACAAGACAAATGTATGACCAAAGTGATGATTTGTACCACTACCAATTTCCCCCTTATTTATAGTCATATGGTGCATACATTACCCAGCTTGTTCAATATACTAGAGCCTGAACTGAATGTGATGCGTTTGAGAAACTTTTATAGAATATTGTTAAATCAGAAGGATTTTTATATAAGCTTTTCAATGGTGGACATCCTAAACAAAATATTACAAATTACCTAGGCAGATGATCTCTGATTGTTTCAACATCAATCATTGTATCTATAATGTAATAAATTGACTACTCCGATGACAGGTGATGCTAGTAGGACAGGATATGCTCACTTTCTTGCAAGCACCTCTTGGTTCAAACATTACCCTTTCATTTCATCTTGTGTAGCAAATTTATTAATGTATGTATTACCGTATACATCTACAAATATATGTGTAAATATACTTTGTCAAAGTATATAGTTAAATGCTTTGAAATTCATGTACGACTATTAATTTTCAATTAATGAACAGGTAAATCATGGCTTTTTAATTTACAGTACATGGGAGACTAAATAAACTGATAATAGACTTGCACACAGGATACACTTACAAACTATACGATGATACGCATAAGAAAACGCCATACGCTGAAAAGCACTAAAATATTCAACAATCTAACCCCCAACCATCCAGGTTGGCAAACAAGTAGCAGCTTCCACCACAAGTATCCACATCAATAAACACTGTACGTTGCCTAACGATGCATTCAGTCACCTAGATGAAATGTTACCGTCAAAAAAAGGTCATCTCACAATATAACAATTACAAGAAACCCGAACATGTAATTTTATCAGATGATCTGACAAATTGCTTTAGAAATTACATTTATTTTACTTCATAAACACGTGTCTGTGGGTCCGTTTTACTGTACAAATATCAGCGATATAGACGTGTTACACTAAAATTATGAAATTATGAAGACGACTACTAGTATTCAATATTCTGACCTTTTAGAGTATATATTATATATTTAAATGAACAGTACGGGATGTGTTTCTTTCTAAATAACAATGTTCTTATTTGATGCGCTTCATGTGTCCTTGGGCATGCTAGCCTTTTATCTCCATTGTGAGATGGACATGTCATGATTGAAATAGTGGGAATATTAATATATTGGTTAATACAATATTTGATGTGTCTGAGATACAGGTGCGGACGCGTGAATCTATGAGTCATCGTTTTCGCGTATGAATATTTGAAATTACGTTTACCTGGTTACGATTGTTTCAATTCTACTTGTTTAAGAAATTAGTTTTGTCAGTTTAGTTATTTTACTTTTGAAAATCACCAAAAAAACAATATATAAACAATATTCATTGTCTTACGTTGATGCATTGTCTTATGTCTCATGTTGATGCATATTTTAATATAAATCACCTTGAGAAACAAATTTGTTGCTTTAGAAAACCCCGATCCAAAGCATATTTGACGCTAAGTGAAGAAATGCCAACGCCACTTATATAACAGTTTTCACGTCATTGATGTCCGTAAAGAGTTTACCGAGATAGACATATTGTGTAAGAGTCTCTCACATGAATTTCATCATCATAGACTTATCATGGAAATATAAATTAACATTTTAATAAACAAATTTCTTTAATGTTTCATTTATTTATGAAGAGTGAATGCGGGATTGGGGTCGGGATTGCCCGCAAGTATTTACAGGTTAGTATATATTCCCAATACAGGGGTTCATTTGCCGACATATATATGCTATTTTTTATCTTATAATTTATAAGTTCATCTTTTCAAAATAAAATATATATTCATCAAATCAACGACGGTCTAACGCAGATAACTCCGAATTGGTATCAATTCACATATTAATGTTATACAAGATTATGAATTTAAAATTATATTCTTTTATCCTTTCCGAACGATCCATTCATATAATCGCTACTTGTGTGAGGATGTCGGCTTTCTTCTTCTTGTATGTAAATTTCCGAAACATCAGTTCACCATATTGTGCGATAACTGTCAATAAAATATAATGCGGTAACATACACAATCATATGTGGTTATATATTTCATACCTTTTTGTAGAGAATTTCCCATTTCTAAGCCAACTATAAAACAATATTACATACTTTCCCATATGTACGCTTTCACAAAGTAATGTCTGTTAATTACTGGACAAGGAGTATATGTCCCTGCCATTATTTTGAATGAATCGTCCTCCTGAAAAGGCATATTTTTGTTCAATATCAATGAGTTGATTGAATTGTCGGTACGCTTGTTCTATTCTGATACCAGAACGTTGGTTTACTTATGTAGTACATACAGACCAATGTTTATCTCAAGAGGGCGTACGTTTAGAAACGGCTTGTGTTAGTGGGGTCTATAATACTGACTTAAAATGTGTGTTATTAATCTATCCAGTGCTATTAATTCATATTTGTTGAAGCTTCCACTCCAAGTATTCACATCAATACACACTGTATGTTGCGTAACGATGCATTCAGTCACTTAGATGACTGAAAAATCAGTCATGTCAAAATATTCAATGGTTAACATTTGATGAATTGAATAATGTAATCTGTTTTAAATCAAGATATTCACCCATGTGCCCCCAATGTTACTAAACTAACTAACTGTCTGATTGATTTGATAATAACTCCCTGACTATGACTCGAAATTACAATAGTGAATGTCACATGTGGATTATGACTACTGTCTCTCATGGAAAAAAAATGACATGACGTCCTGGGAGTTGCATCTATATTCTCCGATAAAATTGTATTGTGTATCTATATCATTTGTATACTGTGACTTTTCGCTACGCAGAATCTGACTGCGTATTTAAATTGTTATGTGTTTAAATTGTTAAGTTCGAGACGAGCGCTATTCTTGTTACAGTATTAATCATTTAATAATCACATTACTGACAGACCACTAATTAAAATAAGCGTCATCTCATATGCGATGAAAAATGGTTGCTGAAATATATTCATTTATTTATAATATTAGTACGAGTGTTTGCAAATCTATTATTGACAGTATTAGGTGTAGTATAATATATGCTATATGCTAAATATAAATGAAAAAAACGTAAATAAATATAAGCACGCTTTAATAATTACTGTACAGTTACTGGGTTAAATACATCACCATTTCGTTGGCATTGGCTTATACATAGTTCTGGTTATGTAATATCATTCAGTTAACAACGCTCTAAAACTCAAAATTCTTTCTGTAAGATATGTTCATCTCCGTTAATTCGTTGCCCACTATTGTATTGGTTAGATGTTGTTTTGCTTTGATGTTGCAGATTCCCGTGGTTACGTCGAAAGTGGTTTAACGTGACTGTAATTGAAAATATACTAAATGGCGTGCAAAACAGCAGGAGCATTGGTATAACGATCACATGTATAATGTCGATAAATTACCACATCCCAATTCAACCAACATGACGCATCAAAACATTTAGAAAAGGTTATTTATTTGCCATGGTAAAATTCAATTATAATTATGTTCTCATTTGTGGTGACACAGATATCTCTAAATCTGACATTCACATTTGAGCATTTAAATGCCTGGCTACCCAAGGACCTTATAAATGTGGTCATACTAATACGATTTCTCACTGGTTTAACCATGCATTATAATACTATTGTTTTTAAATTAATTTTTAATGTACGTTGTGGATATTGTGTATCGCTACTTCATTCGAATGTAACATAACATAACATGACATATTAAAAAAAAAATAATTAAACACTAGTGCAATGTATGAAATATATATATTTCACAGGCAGTTAATAAAAAAATTACGTATAGTATATTTAGCGTTATATGGTCAGCAATTAAACATGGGTATGGGTAGTTGTGTGTCTACACAAAATATCATGTAATACACAGTCTGAAGCAATCATGAAATCGACAATATGATTATACGTATACATGAATACACGATATAGTTTTGCACGTGCTTTGAGATTCGACCCAAACAGACACGGTACAGTTGTTGTATAAAAACATTATTCAGTAAACCACGAAGTGATAGTGTGTTATAAGTACTATTAATTATTGATGAACACCGATATACCAAACTCGCGAAAGCACGTATAATGAGTGTGTTTTGTTTTGTTTTCTCAACGCGTACATCGCTACTTGTACCGGACAGTGTTATAGTAGAACAAACTGCAAGCTGTGCATGTATACGTCCCATATAGAATAGAAACACATATAGTAAATATATTTGTTTTTAATACAAAAGTTGTATCATTTGGAACGTTACGATAAACATTCTGGATCGTGTGACGTCCCATTGCATTCTTACGCGGTAGAGCGATGATAGAGAATATGTTTTCTGTACGCCGGGTTAACAATGAATGTATGGTCAACATTTCTTCACTAAGAATGCGACGAATTGGTGTTGAGTTCCGTGTTAAACATTTGCACTTTGCATTGCAGCCGACTGAATAGAGTGTTGTAAAATAATGCGAATTTTTTCATGTACGCGATGAGGTTTCGAGTGTGCCATCACCCTGTTTTTGAGCCAACATCGACGATGTTCCGAGATTGCTACCTACAACTCCGCCTTGCCCCTGACCAACTGCGGCGACTGTTGCCGAATGCTTCTTGAACCACTTAGCGAAAACTTTTCGAAAACATTTCCTGAAGTTCTCACCCATAAAGGCGTATATGAAAGGATTGAGACAAGAATTTGCATACGACAAGCAATTAGCAAATAAATGATAGTAATATACATTCTCTGTAGCATGGTAACTTTCTGTGTCGACTCTGGTCCAGATGGTTTGAATGTGAATAGGCATCCAACAGATGAAGAATAGCAACGTTACCATGAAAACCATTTTAGTGATCTTCTTCTTTTGCTTGATGCTTTGTGTATGATGAGCGGACTCCTCCCCAGGGGTTACTTGATTCCATAGTTGGCGTAGCATTTTGGAATAACAGATGGTAATAATACAAATTGGTAGCGCGTAGACTGCAATAAAAGTGTACACGTACCATCCAAAGTCCCATTGCAGCGTGGGGAAAACGTCAAAGCAAAATGGACGAACACCATACCATTCGAAGTAGACAATCTTTTTGTAAATCGCAACGGGAACAGCAACCATACATGAACCTATTTAGTGAAAAACAAACAAATTTGAAGTTATTTTAAATTTTCTATTCACATTCCATTCTAAGTCTACAATCGACACCACATTATGAAAGTTATAATTTTATATTTAATTAAAATATATAAACGAATTATCAAAGCAGATACAATCACGCCCAAAATGATTTGATAAACCAATACCGTAATTCTAAAACAATCAAAATTCTTGTTTTGACAAGTGTACATGTGTACAGTATATTAGTATTATTATAAAGGAATTGAGCATTATACAATTATATAATGTCAATAATTAATGTACAAAATTATAGTAAAACTATTCGCTGAGTCAAAATATAATTTACAAGTATTATAATTTAACAGCAGTTTACATGTGCTACAGCGAAAACATGTCATTACTTTTAATTCAAATCTCGACATTTTTCAGGATTTTCTTGGATTGTGTGTGTACATATGTTTATGATACATTAGTGAAGTCATTCAACACATAAAGACTTAATGTTATTTTCCATAATGAATATAATTTTTTCGCAACGCTTGGGATCTAGTATATCCAGTAGCGTATCGATGTCGGGCTGCATTTCTGCTACCATGGATACGAGATTAAACCAGAACTTGAAACGAATGCATGTCAATATGTGTGACATGCTTTGTAAATGTGGTTGCAATCAGTTATGACATGCCAAACATTTGGCTGTGCAGCTGCTAACCCACAATTTAAATACAATGCGTGTTTGTGTGTTACAGGCACATGCATATCAGAAACATGGCTCTGGAACACCATTCGTTAAAATGTTTGTATGTCGGCAGTTTTAATTAAACCTGACAAAAATTACATCTAGGTCTTGTTATGCATGTATGTGCACGTTCAAAATTCCGGAACATCAAACAAGCTTGATTTTTGTAATTTTTATATCTTTGAAATGCCCGCCATTTTTTCGTTTACATTGCATTTTCAACAAAGTCTTCGGTCAATCTGTTATATTTAAATTTGCTGTTCTCATGAGCAACGGATGTGAATACCGTAAATAAGGCGAAACATGTTTTTTTTTACTCATCATTTGAACCAGCCCCCCTGAAATGTGCGCTGCCATCTCGATTTATAATCGCATATCTGAATTTAAAGAAAATAGTTTCTTGTGATTTGCATTCTTTCCTAGCAGCCATTTTATACTACGTTTTCAATGTAGGCTTTGCACCATAATGTTCATATTGTTTGCCGTAGTATATTTGTACAGCGGTTTGGCGATGGTGGTCCTTTGTCTTAAAGTATAGTATCTCGTGTTTTTGTAACATAGTTACATTTGTTGTAGTACATCAGAGCGTTTGTGTATTTTCATTGACACAAAAACATCTTTTGATCATTAAAATAAAAAAAAAACCGCTACTCACTATCCCCGGGATTTAGAAAGTCGTACACAGAAAGTGTGCTACTTATTTCTTGCAAACCACTATTACTGGCACGTACACTACGTATATCATGTTTAAGACCTTGGAATGCGGATCAATACATACAAGAACATGAAAAAAACTGTGCATGTTATATATAAAGAAAAACACAAACGACACACTAACACGAATGGGAAAAAATCAGAACAAATTCTTTAAATAAACGTATATATCGATTTATTTTTATCAGAGCTTCGATTACTGACGGTTTAAAGGTGCGTGTATTCAACCCATTAATGCATAAGGCAAGTCATTGAACAAGTGATTAGTGTTGGTGCAGCAACCATACAGTCCCCGAATTTCTGTTTAATTTGGTAGTCGTAAATACTTACTCATACCAACATCCCAAGTAACAGTGCCATGATTATAATAGGGAAAAACAATGTACATAACAATGAAATGACTGGTCTGCACAGTTAACTTGTTATATACATATTGTGTTGGCATGGCGTCATACACAATATTCCTACTTATAAATTGGCTAATACATCACGAATATGATATGTAATGCATATAATTCATTTATATTCAAAAAGCAGAATATGGCAGCATATCAAAAATATAAGTAATTATTTTGATTCATAAAATGGGCCAGTAAACAGCATTTCGGGTCAAACATCATGGAAAATAAAGTACCCAACGCATATTCAATTATGTGCTAACTGATGCTACTTAAAACATATTTTCCCGACGAGAAAAACAGACTATATAAATCAATCAAAATATTCTAATGTTTTAAATAAGTTGAACTGTATGTTGTACTTTCGTCTTTATGGTCTGATAATATGTATTTGAAATGTTTTCTTTCACTCAACACGTTAATCACATTTGCATGGCAAAGTAACCTTGTGTTGGTTCATATTCACAAATTTGCCTTCTTTTCACAACAGTCTAGACTAGGCTTAGAAATGAAGAAATATTCAAAAATATTACAAGCAAGCCTGTAATTGCATGTTTGTGTTAAAAAATACATAGATGGGAATCGAAATGTGTATTTATTTCAGGCACTAAACGGAAGACCACGAAGAAACAATTCAGGTATGAATTTTCATATGTAACATTATTTTGAACAATATTTGTAAAACAAAATAGTTAGTAACTGTCTTTCCCGTGACCAGGTTCGCACAAAACCTGTGTAGCACTGTTTCATCTTTAAGATCTCGAGTGGTTACCAGGATACGAACTATGCTACTAAAACCCATTAGTTGTGAGCGTGATAAGATGAAAGACGTTATTCATTATTTTACTCACATAACCAGATAGCAGCAATGGCACTAATGGCCACCTTAGGAGTGCGAGTCTTCAGAGATTTCAGTGGATGCACTATAGCATAGTATCTATCAACACTCATGGCAGTCAGAGTAATGCATGTTGCTTGAACTGTTACCTGGAAACAAACAAAAAATATACATGACTATGTCAAATGTGAAAATACACAATAGAAGTTTGGCGCATAGGTAATTAACCACTTAAAGTATTTGGATGTATTGGAAGTACCCCGATGTCACGCATCTATCTGTTAATGCGCAGCACGCATTGTCCCCGCGTTAATGTCCATCAGCACAGCATGTGACAAGCATTGCCATGATGATCGTTTATGATACATCGATAACGCTACGATCAGACTAAATAATACCTGATAAAAACATGATTAACCTGTGCCTGCAAATCGATCAGCGTCAATAAGTTTTAGATGACACATCCTACATCACATATAACACACGGCTGCGGCAATGCTCAATGAAGCACCCCATCCCCGATTTCAAATTTAATGATCCCTGCAAATAATATACTTAAATTAACCCAATGATAATTTAGATGAGACGTTTTCATGTGATAACGCTTTGCAATAATTAAGTGGACAACCAACTCTGATATAGTGCGTAGAATACCAATATGACGCGTTTACGCAGAATGCATTAGTTAGATTAATTCATTCTGGGTAAAACGTATTTGTGACATTAAGTAGTTTTGATATTTTAATAAAACGCACGCACACAGATTTACACAGGCGGTGTTTGTTGTCCTATGACAGGACAGACTGAGTGATTAATTAAATCTACAGGGAAAGACGTATGTTGTCAGCTGATGGTAGGCGCAGAATTTGTTGTACTGTAAGAGTAAATACTGGATGAGCAATGATCTTTCACTAAGCAAATATTTAATAAAGTTAATAACGAATCTAGGATTATTATGGTGTACATATCAAAAGTCGTCGATTGAGCAGCAAGCAAAAAATGCAAAAAACAGGCCGGCGCAACGATATGCATGGTGAAACCAGTGAAATAAAAATACGCCGGTTAGGTGGGACATTTATTGAATCAATATCCTGTTTTTGTAGGCCGAAAATACACGAGTAATGACGAATTCTATTTCTTATATATATGTACGTTAGTGGTACGACGTATGTATAAATCTAATTTGATGTGTTATTTGAGGCGGGAGGTGATTGACGAGGGTAAATATTGTGCATATACGTTACATTATTCAAAGCACAATGGATCAATCATGGCTCGGTGTTGTCAATGCACAAATAAATGATAATTAATCTTTGTGGTTCATGACCACATAAATCATACACCAATAAATCAACGTAATTTTATCCAATGTTTGCGTAACTGAAATTATATACCAATCTTCATTGTTATTTCTGGCAAACCTGTATTGATTCCGACAACTAGGACAAAAAAACACTCTTTGGTATATTTCTCTATTAATGGTCTATATAGTATTATGTTAATATTACCTTCAACATTCTTTATTAAATACATTGATAAATAGTATTTGAAATTTTAAGAGACGGACACAATTTGCGTGGACGTGTTCAATCGGTAATTTGCTGAGTGATTGACACATTGCCAACATATGCCTATTTGTTTCAACAGTCGTTGAGTTGTTATTAATGAAATGTGGTTGAACTGTATTGAAGGGTTAAAAAAGCGGTTCGAAATATTTAACGCTGCAAGTGACAAGCTAATTTAATTTGACTTTTAGCTACTGAGTAGAGATTGTCCCCACAGGCAGTGTCCAAGATATTGTCTAATTATATCTAATACATAAGCTGTATGCAGTCAGCAATAACATTGGTGTTGTTATCGTTGCATAAAGCAGACTAAATGTAAAAGTGTTTTTTTTTAGTAAACATTCATAGTTCGGTTTTCAGTAAACTAAATTGTAATGCGATTCCTCGTTTTCCTTCAGACTGAAACATTTCTTTCCGAAAAAGAATATATACTAAAATACTGCTCAATGAAACTAAAACAAGATATAATACATTCTTAGCATATTACATGTTTTGGTGGGACTCTAAAAAATGAAAACCCTACCAAAGACGGTTTATGTATTTCCATATGCCACGTGTTAGACATCAGTCACTGACACATTCTATTGTAATTTAAGAGATTAAAGAACTCGTACATTAAATATAATTTGGTCGATAGTGCTTTTCAATCATTACATCATGTGGAAGAAACGGAAGGTTTGAATAAACCTGAACACAGTAGCAGTTAACAAGAATGGTAAATACGCAGCTATAGAATAAGAAAAAACAGTGACACATAATTCTAACGAGAATTGCAGAATTACCAACCATAGCTACATGCGGTCTTACGTGTAATCATACATACACACATTTACATCATGACGTCGACGATTGTGTGAAATACTTTTGATATGCGAAAAAAGTAATGCAATAATTTAAACTGAAATTGCAGCTATGTAATTCATTCCCATGTGGTAGTACTTAATTTTATCCATACAAAACATCATACATTTGTTATATATTCGTCATGTATTCTAATTACTAACTTGAAAGGAATTATAAATCAATGTCATACCCTGGTGCTTCTGGAATATAACATAAGCGATAAAAATACATGAATTGGTATAGCGACGTGGCGTCAGTCAGAATATTCATTATTATTGTGAGACTATACATTTTATGAATTAACAAAACGAAAATAGTTGAAATAAATATTGGCATGCTGTTACGAAATATATTTGTGGTTACTGTAATACTATTATGGTGATACATAATATAAGTACAAGTCAATCTATATTATTACATAAGATATTCATGAGATCACATGCTAACAAATTCACTCATGATATTTATGACTTACAAACGCGGAAACTATATCAATATAGACCATAACGCGAGAATCACGCGTTATGCGTGAAATCGAACGTAAAAACAGGACAAACAAATGTCATAGCGTCGTAGTGGCGTAGTGGCGTCAAACATCGCGTGGGATTCGACAAACGCGAAGTATTTTGGGGGACATTTCCATGCTTAATAATGTGCTGTCCACATTTGATGATAGGCAATTTTGATTAAGTAAGGGTATTCGGAAGTAATATTCCTCTGTCGAAGATCGGCCGGTCGATGTGAGTTAAAGAAATAAAGAAATTCTAGTTCAAAATCAAATCGTTCGATTTTTGCGGCAGACGCTCGACGCGCGTTTTTCATACATCTCGCGAGATCTCGCAATTGTACGGAAAATCCCCTATACTTGTTTGCGAATAGTATTATTTGTCAATACCATTGTGATTTTAATTTTAATTTTTCAATCGGTATAAAACTTGTCTCTGCTTTACTGTCTAAAAAAACATTAGTTTCAGCTTACATTGAAATGTTGCAGATTTATTTCTGAGAAGCATACGGCTACATGTGCAGATTTGAGTTTAATTTTAAGTGAATTGCCGTCAGTGTTCAAACTATAATTCAGTGAAGTAACTTGTAGAAACCTGGTGATTCTCCAAGAAGGCTTCACGTGATCTGTTTTTTTTTTAATTAATCAAGTCTACCTCGTGTTAATATCAAAGCGTATTACCTGTAATCACTTCACGGTCCAGGAGACAATCATATTGAGTTGATAATGAATAGTTGTAAATTTTACTCAATTATCGACCACATTATGTGTATATTTAATATACTACTGCTGAATGTCACTGTCACTGTTGAAGATACCATGAATAGGCACGGCGTATGTCAATCAGTTTTTATTAACGTGCCCAAGGCATAATTATGATTCGGCGGCTGAAATAATTAATTATTGCGAAAAGCGAAAGTTCAAAATTTACAAGAAATGTGTTTTTGAGATTATTAGCAAATGTAGAGAATGATGAAACACATGGACAATCCTTTCATGTGCACTCTATGTTCTTTTAAATGTTTTTTATCCGCATGGCTTAATTTACCTTATTTTAATGAAGCTATCTTTTTGTGTCCATGTTGTTAATCCATGCTGAGTACATGCTTTAATAAATTCAACATTATTGGGTATATTCACATGATCGAATTTCAGTTCGTCAAAAATCCCTAACACAATCACAAATGTGTATCGTATATATAGTTCGAGCATAGTAACAAGGATCTTTACGAAAACCACATAATTAGCTTATACTGCTATATATTTGAGTCACGTGATCATATTTCTCTTACATTCATATTTATTTATCATATATACTAATCTCTCCCCGGCATTCAGGTCAAATAAAAAGTATAAAAGTATTGCCTAAACAGCTTAGTAATAAACTTACCCACACCTTTCACACAGTTTGTTGGCAGATATCACGGTTTGAGATAACAACATTCAGATGAAATCAGAAGACATTCAATCACTTTGCATGTTGATTGGGGCTCAGGTCTATAAATTGCCTACAAAAAACGTCTGAAAATGCTTCTAAATTTATGACTCTGACTATAAATACACTCAATGTATATTTTTTTGTACGATTGTAGTTTTCTGGCATGACCTGCGTTTTGTCGAAATACTATATGTCAAACAATTAGAAACGCGGCAATCAAAAAGAGGTTTCATGAAATTTGCCAGCTCTGTCGCTGTTTGAATATTCGTCCGTTCATTGTTTTGATCGATCACTTTTTCAATTCATTTGACAAACGGATAATTCAATATAAGCTAGACTGCTCCACCTTTTTTGCAAATCATAAAAAAAGTTACGGTGTTGGCAAAAAGATTATATCTAGGGTTCAGTGTTAGGACACAAATCTTGGTATGGAAAGAAATATGAAATATTTTTTGTTACCATCTTGTAATAACATAGTACAGATAGAGATAATGCATAAATGATACACCAATGCTAGTTTGTCAAATCAATTGAACAGTTGAAGTCTACGACCGCCGTTACGTTAGTCAGTCATTTATATTATTAGTAAGGTATTTAGTCAGTTAGTCAGTCAGTTTGTTTATCTGTTTTCCTGATTCTCATAATTCACTTCAAGGATTATGCCCAAATACGTAATGTATCATTTTTACCTCTCTGCTTGAGGCATAGAATCCAGAGAAACATGACGTCATACGGAAGCTCTGTCGTGGATTAACCCCCTGGAAATCGTGGTTAATCCACTATACAGTAGAAAAGCAAACGAATTTTATGAATGCAAATCTGTGCTGAATAAGAAATACACAATAATCCCTGAAATGACCAGATTATGACATTTGAAAACTACCAGACACCAGCTGTCGCCTCATTCCGTTTTCAGTTATTCAATGCTTCTTCAAATGTCAACAGTTTTAAACGATATTTCTATACAACTCGCCATACGTACCGCATAGATTGCGGTTTATCTATAGTAACTCTTCTCATTGGAAGTTTATTATGATTTGACGAAAAACAAACAACAAACAGACGACGTGTTTACCGCGCGTTGTGTACGTCGCTATGGGTGTCCTATCGAACAAGGCGCGGCGCGACGAGCTCCCCCTTTTAATGGTTAATTGAGTGAAAGTTGGACTCGTCCTATCAATGTTCTTCACCATATGTATGTCCATGTCGAGGCAACATATGTGTTGCTACATGTGTAGCTACGCTATGTGGATGGGATCGACATGGAAAGGTTTCAATGTATTGAGACACGCCGATCATGACGTGTAGCTAGATGACTTGCCAGTTCGAATCACGTAGTCGCTGCATGTTAATTTGAATCAACGTATTATAAACTGTCTATTAGGTGTCATTTACTTGCTTTACTTTTCCATGTTAGCAGCGCTGAATTTGAAATGCTTTTACGATTTCTTGTGAAACGAAATAATGGTAGAAGACTCACAGTATATAGCAAGAGCTCTAAATACCTGAATTACGCATCGATAAACACAAAAATGAAAATGTCATTGTATGATAATTGTTTTGTGTTAGCATTCGGTAATGTCGAGCAAGTGTCTGCAGCCATATATTTTCAGTAATGCAATTTGCAGAATATGATAAAGCGACTGGTATATAAGGCTACACCTTCATGGTATGGGCAGTTTGTATGTGTTACTAGATACCAATGAATCTCCACATATATGTATCTGTATTTAGTTATTATTTTCCTATCTTGTGTTCTATATGCAATGTAGTTAGATTATTAAAGCCTTATTTATACGTGAGAATAATGTTCAATCTGCAGCCTGTATGTTTTATACCGCGAAGTAGGGATTGTATGAACACGTGGAATATGGAGACACTTGCCAGAGGTGTGTGATTTTACATACTCTGGATTTATTTAGGTTACAGTGTACTTTAGATATGATATTATGTGTATCGGCTCTGTGCAGCGTCGCTAAACACTTACCTGTATAGCGTAAAAGCTGAATTTGCACATGAACTCCCCAAATACCCATTCTGAAACGTGAGACGTGGCGCTGAACGGCACTGCACATGTAAGATAGGCGACGTCAGATATTGCCAGGTTCAGTATATAGTAATTGGTGACAGTTCGCATCTGCTTGTTCTTCAATATCACAACAATCACCAAAGCATTCCCAACGATACCGATCAAGCATATCGTACCAAATATGAGAGGTACTAACCAAGTCTCTACTCTTACTGGTGGGTCGCCTTCATAGTAATAGTACGGCGAATTACTCGTACCGTTTTCCGAAATGTCTGTGTAATTTGACAGAACGTCTTCGACCGAAGTCATGACGGTGTACACTCCGGAGGTACTGTGTTTTTCTATACTACGGGTGATGGAGACAGAAACAACAGGTGTAACGTACTTAGTACATGATTCAGACTAATTCTTGTCTGTGTTCCAAAGTGAAACTGCGCAAGAAATGGAATGGCACACGACTGAAGGATGACTGTCAATTATCGTGTCACGTGGTGCAATTGACATATGTGCGTTGTTATAGCAACGATATATGTTCATCTATCTATTTTACATAGTCTTACAAAATCTGTAATAACAAACGAAACATATTGCGATAAATGTGAATAAGTTGATTCAATTTGTAAATTTGTATTCTTGGTTTGTGAATACAATGGTGAGTGGGAGGCGGAATGAAGTAACATTAAAACTAATTTCACATTGATTGCATAGTTAGTACATCCTCATTTAGGTAATAACTTCCTCTTTGGCTGTTTTTATCGTGACGAGGAAGCGTGACTTGATCAAATACATGACAAACTGCAAATTAGATAATAAGAATTACCTTCATAAAAACACTTTACAATTGTACTACCTATATCCTTGTTTATTCGTGCTCATATCAGTGGATTAAACTCGGGTTTTCTTTTAACGTTGCAAAATGTATCACAATAATGTATGTTAATGCTGTCGTAGTAGTATTTCGTTTCAAACCTCTGGCTCGACAAGGTAAATGTTCAATCCGGTTTTAATGTGAATATTTAACTTGTCTTCGTCATTAACTTCCTCAGTCGCCTTCAGTTGACATTCTCGTATCCTCAAAAAATGTTCTTATCTGCTTTCCGGTTTTCAATCAGTTTAGATTGAAGTTGATGGCATTTTCACCATGGCGTCTTCATATGGTGTTTTAACCCCACACGTATGGAAAATCAGGGTTTAGAGCGACACTCGGGCCGTCACCAGCCAATTAATTTCAAGCTGAACTAGCACGAGTTGACACTGGGTTAACTTATGTTTCAACGGTGGATTACAGTTAACTCTGGATCAGAACCCTTGTCTTGGTACACGTATGAATACTATGTATATCTTATTAAGTTTATTAGAAATTCGGGGCCACTTGAGTCGAAACTCTATTGTAATTCTAAGTTCAGCCAAATAGTTCACATGACCTAGCCGCTAGATTTTTTTAGAAATATTGTGTTGCGTCTCATTTACATAATTCCTAAGTAATCTACTATCCCTGAACACATCTTTAAAGACCAACTCCAGGCAATAAGCCGTTTTGAAGAAGAATATTTTAGAATGCTTTTTTACATTGTTTTTCCTTATTCTGCAAAGCATCATTGGAAAATGCAACCAGAGCAGTACTGGGAACACTGGACATGACATGTGACTAACATATATGGTCATGTGATCTCATTATTATGCATAACTGTAACATCTCAAGTACAATATTGAAGCTATTCGACAGGAGATGTGGCTAACATGTCAAATGGTCTTCGATGATGATTGGACCTCATTATTATGTATAACTGTAACCAAGGACTGTTATAGATAGGACAATGCAACTAGTGCGAGAGGGAAGCATTTGACAAGAGATGTCCATATATGGTCATGTGTCTCAATAATATGAATACATGTCTTAAGTAAAATACTAATGCAGATTATACAATGCAACCCATGTCATTTTGAAGGCATTCTACAATAATGTCTGACAATAGAAGGTAATTATTATAGTCTTTTTAATGATGTTAAATTTAGAATGTTCCGGGTAAACCACGCTAGGCTCGAAACATGCTATTGCTGCAACGCAGCTACATTTTTATTTATTATTATTATTACATTTTTCTCGCAATGAATATCGCGGCAAAACCAGTTCAGATTTGTTTAATTTTAGAAAAGACGGGAACACCAAGTGAACCCATTCACCATTGTCAAAATCACGAATATTTTCGGGTACGTGACTACCAGTACTTTTGCACTTTGCAGAGTCAACGCAAAAAAATGTCTTTATGCGTCAAACGTGCTGTGATAAAAGAATGTTCTCTTTTACACATTTGATACAAGATACAGTCACGATTCGAACTAGTTTTTTCGTCGATTCCATCTAAACGACTGAGGTGTGCATGACTCGGGATTTTATTGAATGTATTTTAAATGTAGACGTCATATTTTTATCTTTTAAGAAAAGAACACCATTATCCATACGTTAATTGCAAATGTTGTATTGCAACCACGGCATCGGAAACTAGTGTGTTACATGACACATAACATTTCAACCAATTTTAACATCATTATGATAATCAGTTGCTCTACATTTTCATCGTCATGCGTGTGACATTTGGTTTCACGTTATTATGATGGCTGAGGAATACTCCTTCGAGAATGGTGTTTTTCGTGAGTTATTTCCAGCTATTATTTGAATGATGTTAAACTAAAATAATCATAATTGAACATGTTTGTTCGGGCATATTAAGATGTATAGTTCGGTTAATCTCATATATTTTACATTTTATTCGAAAGTTTATTCATTTGTGCTAATATTAAAATACAAAGAGCGCCACTCATTCGTATATAGCAGCCTCAACAGTATTATCTATGATCGAAAGCTCTCATGGAAAATGAATACAACTAATTAAGTCGGAATTAGTTAAAACATTATGTATCGTACGTATCTGCTCGAGTACATCGGCTCCACTCCAATAAGAGATCGCATGCGCGCGATTATTTTAGAGTAAATTACCCAACCAGTCGAAACATATTTTACTCATACATGCATCATATTGTGTGAATACAGCGCAACGAATTCTGAAAGGGCGTTCACAATTGTTAAATTCCAAAGAGTTACCAATCACAATGTAGGTTGGGCAATTCGATGTACGACTCTCACAATTAAACAAAAACAAAATTATATCATAAATCCCCCCAAAATTTTATTTTGATTGATCTAGAACCAGACACTATCACACAATATATCCCAACTATAAAAGGAAAATGTCCCCAAAATAATGTGTTATGATATTGAATTATATGAATTGTTGCTGTCACGTATTGCAGCTAGATGTCATACTGGCTGAAAAATAGGTTATTATTATTCACTTGTTGCCCTTTAATTTTCTTTTTCAAATACTCTCTTTTAATTATTATATCCTCTATTGTTTCCGTGATAGTACTAATGAAAATGCTACCCAACAAGTTATTACCGAGTAGGCGGATTAACAATTGCTCTGTTGCTGCTATCGCCATGAAAAACTGCTGGTTTAGTGATTGTCGCCATGATTGATCAATTTATTTTAGATTGTACCCCTGTAAAAACTCAGGGACTTTTAATTAGATGGTTGTTGGACTTGTACTAAGGACAATATACGTTATATAACAATGAACTATAAATAATCTAGTGTTAAATCTCCCAATCGCAGCTTACGGGAATTCTTGCCAGATATTGCAACTGAGTGATTCAACGTCAGGGAGTGAACACAACAGCAGAAATATTCTTTACGGACTGGTACGGTTTTTGCAGCCCGAGGTCGTGCGGCAGAAGCGCCCGAGCTTGGTTTTATCATATACTTTATAGGTGTAATTACAATTTACCATGCCGTGACCACAATCACACAACGTAATTTAGAACATCGCGTTTTGATTTTGATTGATGAAAGCAGGGCGAACTTGGCCAGGCGTGATACGTGGGAAATTATTGCCTTGATGTGAGGACGCACTTCCCATAGTGTTACGAGACCGGGCAATACGAACTTATTAAAATTCACTATTTTTTAGTATGTACCGGGGGTTTCGGCGATGTTGAAAGACATAAAATATGTGTTATGCGTTATGGTTATAGCAAGGCAAACCTTCAATCACTAGTACGTATTCTCCTGTTCAGCAGTTAAAAGATTTTTTTCCAGGAGGAGCGGTACATAACAGTTACCCACCGGGCCTAGATCATATGTGATATGTACTCTAAACCTTAGTTAGCGGCATTCTGAAATGCGCCTCAACATGATGGAGATAGTTGATGCCGTGCATCGGTGAACGCTAACCCGATAAAGTTTGTATACATTGCACCAACAATTTCAAGAACACAAATACAGTATTTTGTTTATTATGATGACACAAGGAAAAGCACGATATTTATTGTTCATAATATTTTACTGTTAACGTAATGTACCTTTAAATGTATCGCAGTTTCTTAGTAAAGTTACGTTAAGGGCATTACTTACCAATCTTGTCACGTGCGTGACAAATGTGTTGACAAAGTCACCCATGGACAAAATGACTCACAAAACCAATTAGTTCAGAGTACCAAACGTTTCAACAGTCGCGATTATGCAAGGCCATGTCATTTCCTCTTTCAAACTGCTATTTATTCGAATCTATATTAAGCTACTTTAAGTATTAACCTTTATCCCTATTGAGTTTAACAAAGACCGTTATGCACAAAGTAGGTATAACGTAGATATAAGGATTCAAGGGCAATTTGACAGTGATCAACTTAGATGTTACGTATTCAGAGTTATTTCGTCTTTAGTTTAGTAAGGGGCCTGATTTCAAAACGTCTTTATCAAGTTTATTCATTAAATAATATCGTCGACACCAACCATAATTCTCCGTTAAAGTTATTTGATCAAGGGCGATATCTGCAATAAAATCTTCTTGCTATGCCTTGAATCAAATGACTTCAGAACAGAATGAGTTGCGTGAGATATATCAGCGATGCAGTTACTCTATTCCATTATTTGTATTATATGTCTATGTCGAATTAGTATATTATTATCACATACCAAACTTAGACAGACATACGCAATAGTTTAATTGATGACTCATGTCTCAGTAAAATATAATTGCATGCTTTAACGTAGATAAACAAACCATCACAATGATCAACAGACAAATCTGTGTTATTGCGTCACTAACACATGGTTGATGTCTGTGTTCATGGAAACGAAATGATCAGTCTTAGGCAATGTATTATTACATAATACATACTAGCTAATATTAAATTGAATTACGCCCACGGAAAGTGTATATAGAAATCCAAAATAGTCTATGAGTATAAA